AAAAAACACAAAATGGCTAAACACTAAAAATCAAACACTTTAAATTATATAAATATAATTTTTTCTGTTTTATTTACTCGTGTAGCTAATTTCACTCTCGTTTTAGAAAAATTATCCACAAATAAATATCTTCTTGTAATTTTAAGACAAACTTCAGTTGAAGCCATGGAGCTTGTTTTATTACCATTTTCATAAACATCTATGAAATGACTCCATCTTATATATGGTTTTTGAGGAAAAAATATATAACAGGAAGAAAAAGTAACTAGGTATTAGTTATTCAATTTTTGTTTTTAAGTTTTCTAAAACAACTAACTAATATTACATTTTTGTTGAGTAATCAATTTCTCACATTTTTTAACAAGTGTGGTGGTGCATCTAAAAACGTATATGACGAATTTGACTTATGTAATTATGTTTTAATTTTTAAAACACTAGAATATCTATCTTTACTATTAGGAGACAGAAAGGGTCCTATATTTTTGTTTTCGCTACTAAAGTTATTTTTCTATATCCCCTAAATGATAAAAATAAACCTTCACAATACGTATACCGTTTGCCAAATAAACATCTATCAAAAAATATAATTTCATTAACTTTTTCGACCAACTGACAAAATATATACCTAATGTTAAAATCTATAAAAAATTAGAATAATTGAGTTCATAAATCTAACGGAATAATGTTAAATTGATAGAAAAAGTAGGTTTGGAAAAAATTAAAAGTATGGTAAATTATTTAAAAAATATTGTGTCTGAAATCTTCAGATAAAATGCCAAATGTTAGGCCAATTGGCAATTAATAACTCGGAAATAAATACTTACTTTATTACAGTAATTTTTTGTTTAATTTTACATAATTGGGATACGATTATATGATTATTTAAAATGAAGATAACTAGATTAATGTGTATCTAGGTGGTTTAATAGATAAATAATCTGTCTGGAGTTAAATTTAAAGGTAGGTACTGAAACTACTGTGCATAATTAATTGTAAATAGATAATACACGTTTTTTTCAATTTGATTAGAGGAACTTACCCCCTCCCCCCTTTAAAAATACGACCTTCAGATTAAAAATGTAAATATTTTATTTTCAATATTGTCATAACACGAGTCCTAATTAATATGTACATATGTATGGCTGATGAAATTGTGAAGCCAAAATATAACAATATATTTAAAATGTGGGTGCTAATAATAATATAATATTTTCTGTGATTATTTAAACGGATTGGGCCTAGAAAATTGAAACTGAATATAAATTATTATCTTATGTTGAATTAATAGTAATTATGTCTCGACAAGAATAAATCTTTTATTATTATTAAGTAATGATTAATTTTGTTTATTAAAATTTGTTGTTACCATTATATTCCTACAACTCGTGTGCTTTTTAAGACATAATTTATTGGCATAATGATTAATTATTGTGAAATTGTATTCTAAAATTGAGTAAGTAGCAAAGAGACGAAGAGATTTAAAACCCTATTTTAGTGTACAGCGCAAAAAACACTCTTACAATGTTATCATAATTTATTTATATATACAATATTGCAATATAATTATAATAAATATATAATAAACTTACGTCCTATCAATTTTACTAAAAGTAACGACAAAATATTATACATCTTAACTATTATCATTGTACCTTAAAACAATATGGATTGTGTACACACAATAATATTGTAAATTAATAGATTTTCATGCGGTCTGTTTTTAAGGAGTTTTGTATAGGCAATATTTAAGCAAAAAGCTGGTTTAAGAAATTTCCATCATGTCAATTATTTAACCGGTTAATTTTTATAAGCTTCAAGGTGTTGTTTTAAATTTGTTCTATGAGTAAAAACCATTTTGGTCCTATTTTTGTCATTGCCTTTAATTACAATATTTACATTTTTATTTTACATATTATACTTTATTTTTAATAAACCTACTTATGTACAATTTTTTTTTAACTTACAATTTGTTAGTTAGTCTTTTAAAATGCTCAATTTAGCTGTTGAACGATATTTTTGGATTCGTTTGAAATTTGTCGAATTCCAATTAAATGTTCTAAAGAGTTTACAATGAATTAATAACGTGGTAATACAATTTAAATGATCTAAGCGTGTATTATCAACATTTAGTGTTTCACATAAAGAACTTATGTGCTTTTTAATTTTAAAAGATAATTTTCTCAAGTTAGGTTTTTTGGTTTATGAATTTAGTAATTATTTGTTGAGTCGAAGTTACAAAATCAATAAATATGTTAGTAGTAGTATTTCCTATAAAATCTTGATTTATGTTAAAAGATAATTAAAACCCAATTGCCCTCTTGCCATGAATACCGGGGCTTGGCTGGCTATACGATTGGTTCTACCTTTATAGCCTAAGTCATCATGGCCATGTCTGAAAATTTCGAATACTCTAAAAATGATTTGATTTTAATTTCATCAAAAAAATTATAACGCAATACTTTTCTTGATCAGTGATCGTCGTGTGGACTTTTGTTTTAATATGGTTTAAATTAACTGGATTAAAATCAGGTCGAAACTTTGCAGTCTCGCCCGGTAGTTCACTTCCGGTGTGGCTTTGAACCATTTGCCGAGCTCGAGGTGCTGTTTTGAAAAAGTGATAATATAATTTAAAAATTTGTTTTCAAGACATTCGATTATTTTTGACATCTACACAAAATATAATAAATAATTAATAATAAAAAAGTGTATTTGTATATAGCAATTAAATAATCGTTTGTTTGTAAGACAAAATAAATGAAATCTATGTAAAAAATGTGTCGAAAATAGTATGGCATGAAATTATTTATTTATTGAAATATTTAAATAATGAATAATTTATTGCCAAAATGAGAATAATGATTATAGCTGCGACGTGGAGTTGAAAAGGTATTACAATGATGTGTTTTTATTTATCATATTTTATTATATTATATTTGTGTTATACCAACGGGTCTGTCTATATTGACACCACTGGACTGATATCTTCGTGTCAGCAAGTCTGTAGATCAGAAATCGTGCCCTAAAATACACTAAATATACAATTTTAATTCGGTCCAGTGATTTCAGATGGTACAGACACAGAAAAAGAAAAACGCATGAATGTAAAAGACTTGGTTCGTTAATTGCATAAGACATTTTTTTTCCAACTTTTACCCCCCCCCCTTTTTTACTGTTTTAACCTTTTTCTTTTTATTAGATAACCGCATATCTACAATCTAACTGGATATAATTATTTTAAACTTTTGAATACCTCCTTTGAACTTGTATAAATAAATCGATATCGATAATTATGCGGACTATTGCCAATATTTATAATGTTTTAAATCATACGCTAATTAAAGCGAATGAATTTATTAATAACGGTTATTTGGTCATAAACTAAATTTACTGACTAAGTAGTTTGTTAGGCTTAAATTCTGGCTGACGTCAATTATTGACTAATAATTCATAAATATAAAACTATTACATCACCGTTTTCGTGAACCGGATATCGATCATTGCAATTATTATTATAGAAAAAAAACTAGGCATTGATGTTGTCAATAATTATTCTAATATCTTTATTACGGATATTAATATTGAAATGACAATTAATAACATAAGACAGTGCACAATTTCAGGTTTTTAACACGAACCTTTTAAACCTAATTAAATGATATATAAATGTATATTTATACATGTGGCTCTCACTCTCCCAAGTTTTAACAAATTCTTAATTTATTATTAAATTTTGATTAAAATACAGCATGCATAGCAGAATATGGCATCTATAAAATATATACTGTACTCAAACCATTTATGATTTTTATTGAAGCTACGATTCTGTTCTCCAAACTTATTGAAAATAAAATACATTATTTTTTTTTTCAAATAAAATGTTAAATTTATACATTTTTTCTGTACCTATTTATACTTAATTGCGAATAATCTACTAAACAAAATCGGTACTTTGGATAAATATTACTCTTTAATATTTTTTTTTTAATATAAATAGCAAGCAGTGCTGTGCGTTATTTAGATAAAAAATTGTCTAAATAATCATTTAGATAACAAATTATTCAAGTGAAAATTATTCGAATAACTTTCAAACATACTAGGTATTCAAATTACCTTAGTATTCAATTACCTTAGTCCTGAATTAAGGTTTCCTTAATCATCGATGGTAATAGTGTCATAAATTATTGGCTAATCATGAAGAATTATAAAGAATTATGATTTACAGATTGAGCACAGACAGTAGATTTATTTTGTGTGAAGATGTTTCTACAAAAAAATCAAATCAATAGGTCAACATGTTTTGAATTATAAATATGTATTTTTAATGTTTTTAAAATTTTAAAATTTAAAAACAAACATGAATACAAAATTTGTTTATATTGTAAAATTATTTTCTTTTGGGCGGGGGGGGGAAGGCTAATAAGCTAATGACTGTCAGAGATATGGCTTAAATGCACTACGGTTTAAAAAATAATTCTACTACAAGTACAATTTACCAATCAATTGTAGCACATTTTTTTTTTAAATGTCAATCACTTTGAAAACAACCAAAAATTAACTACAATTTTAAACAATGTTAAGCATCTTTAATTTTTGACTAAAAAAAAAAAAGCGTGGGCCCTATTCAACTAAGTCCCTAATAAATTTATCGGATAATTTTTTATATTGTAAGTTTTTTTTTGTAATTTAAATTTGGTTCAATTTTAGCGTGTGACACAATATGATACATTTCATAATACTGAACTCAATGAATTTGGACTTTGTTGAATAGGGCCCACGGTTTTTTCTTTTTAGTAAAAAATTAAAGACGTTTAACGTTATTTAATGTTGTAGTTAATTTTCGGTTGAACAATGATGTACCCTTAAAAATAATTACAGTTGGCGGGATATTAACCAGCGGCACACGTGGCTGCACTGGTTTCACGTAGGTGGTGGTTATCTCCTCTCCGCCGACAAGACACCGGCGGCAGCTGAGGCCAGCTAACCAAGCGCCCTCTTAAAACCGGCAATTCTCCTGGAACTGTCTTACTCGTCGCTACAACGTTGTCATCAGTGCTGTTGCATCCAATTTCACCACTGCAATTATTACTGCAGCTGTTGTTATCTTTCGAAAGGAAATAACCGAAAATTCAGGTAAAAACTTGTATGTACATAAAAATATTATACATGTAAAATTATAATAAACTACGTACCTTATTATTTATGATATGAAATATGATTTCTTCAAAGCGTAAAATTTTGTTGAAACGCGTCTGTTTTGTATTAGCCTTGTTGTAGTGTACAACAAACAAATGTTTAATATAGTTATAATACAGTTTTCGTTAATTGTGTGATAATATGAAAATCCGACCGGTTATTTTGACTCGAAAGAGTGTCGGCGACGATTTCGTTAATTATACAATGTCACAACGTTATGGCTATTTTTTAATTTAAAACTTTCGGTTAGATATGGCTAAGCTGTACTTTTGAGCTTTATTTGAGAAATCCCGAAAGGGTATTTTGGATTAGAGTACATACTAATTTTTCGTCGTTTAATTTTTCAGCTCAGGTACATAATTGCATTTATTTATTTAAAAGTAACCATCATTGAAGTTTCCTATTTGGGTTTTGTTTTTAATGTTTTTAATTCATAAGTGTGCATCTCGGAACTTGCAGACCGTAACGCGTTATGTCGTTCTCGTTTAGGCGGAAACCGTACTGGAAAATAATAATCTCGTTAAATTAAAAAGTGTAACCGTCTCGTGACTTCGATTTAAATGTACAGTTTGTAATATTAGTTGTGTACAAAAAATATAACATGTTCTTTTTATTCCTCGTCGCAGAAATTCAAACCAAAACTCGGTTAATTATTGTGTTAATTTGTAAAAAAAAAAAAATGTAATAATAGATAATAATGTTTTATTCGTCGTGGTCAACATAATGTTATCATCGTCCGTTCCGTTAACTCACGTTTTAGATATTGTGTCCGGCCAGTTCTTTTGTTTTTTAACCATATGGCCGTAGGTTTGGTATGCATGGTCGTGTCTTGTCTTCGGCACGATTGCCAAAACATCTGCCCGTCTACATAATAATGTAGTCGCAAAACTTTACACAAAGAAATAATCCAAATATTATTATCATAAACATTTATTATTGTACATATTGTATAATTCACTGATGTGCAGCACAACAGCTGTGTTATAATAAGTCCGGTTTATGCGTTTTGCCCGAAATATTTTGCAAACGTATTTTCGTTTGATTAATTAATAATAGTTTTAATAAAAAATTATTATCGTCATGTGTGTGTGTGTGTGTTTTTTTTTTATGCACCGGCGGTGTGTGACCGCGACCGAGGTAACGGTCAGCTTCCTACATGCTATAATATTATACTTAATTATTACAACTACATACGAGGAGGAATACTAGCTAGCTGGAACGCAACCACCGGATGCATTCATTTGTGCACACTAGTTGCATGCCCAAGAAAGGTTGAGATTTCAATCCTCCCTCGACTTATTATTATTATTATTTTTTTTTGGGGGGAAGGTGGATTAACATTTTTTTATATCCCGGTCAAAAACATTTTGATTCCAAGTCCATTTCAATCGCGCATTACCCGCGATTTCTGAATAATATGATTTTATTTTAACGCACTACTTGCCCATGTACTTTTTAACCCCTCACCATCCCCTCCCTGATGATCTTTTGGTGGTTACGCTGATCAGAATCAACACTGGGAGGAAGTTTATACTTGCACAAAAACGCGGTGGCCATCTTAAATCTGCACCCACTATAATGCGTTTTATCTATGCATTATTATTAGTTGTATTTAGATACATACACAGTTATGTATTATAACATATTATAATACTAAATAGATTTTTAAAAATGGTCGTGACTTTTTTTTGTTTACATTGTAAGTGACCCTTCTGCTTTAATCTGTCCTGTAAAAAATGTTATGTGGCGCTAACGGCTAAGTGCAAATGAGCAGTATAATAAGTATATGTCGTTTTCAAAAAGGACTCAAATTGATTTGTATTTATCTGCGTATATGGTTGGGCTTCGATCCTTTTTTATGTATTATTTTACATGTTCAAGTTGTGTTCTAAATAGTGTCTTGATCTTTTCACAATGTAATTTTTTTTTGGTTTTAAATCTTTATTTGACGTTTACTCCACCAGGCCATTTGCATAGCAATAACTTATAGTTAATTCTCGATAGTAGTGTACTAATAAGATGTGTTGTTTTTTTAATGATGATTTTTTGCCTGTTTTAATTAAAATACACGTTTTTTTCTGACATGATCATATTATATGTTGTATGGGTTAAATTTTTTTTTTAAAGTAATTGAAATATGGAAAAAAACTAAGCTTTGTAAACTAATACGATTATGTTTGAAAAAAATGGACTTTTTTATGAATAATCTTGGTTGAAACTTAAAACAACATTTACTTCAGGCACAATTGACAATATATTTTTTTTAAAAAACTGAACACGCTAGAATAAATTTGGGTCTTGACTTGAACCAGCGTCAAAATTTATCAGGTTTTATCCCAGTTGTAGATAAGATAAATATATATTTATAGATAACATAAAGGTCGATAGCCCAATACAGTACACAAGATAACATCGTTCGGGCATTTCCCATTTTAAAAATTGTACACACATATTAAAAAAGCTAAAAAAATTGTATTGTGTATTCAATCAAATGTATGCAAAAGTCATAATAATATGTAGGCCGTTGATTAATAATAACGTTCATTACATATTTTATGAAACATAATATTACTCATCGCGTTTTATACTAATTTGGAACTGTATGATTTTGGATTTTATAGAATTGGTTATAAAAAAAAATTGATTTTAAAATTAACGGTAAAACTAATATTAGCAAGACGTGTGTATCTTGTTTATATATGATTATTATAAATTTTAAATATTATACGACACTAGGCGACACCATGGGGACACCTGTTAGATGGGCTCAACAATTATTATTATCTAAATAATTATCTCTCTATTGTCTGGCATTATGAGCAATTCTTAAATTTTTTCCTCTTTATTTTATATATTAAAATGATTGACATTAGGCAACCGGCCGTCACCATCGTTTACTATTACAGTAAATTATTATAAACTCTCGACTCGGTATTACACATAATATTGATTATAATATTTTATTTGCCTGCTTGCTGATGATGATTCATCGCCTCGATGCATGACGTAGTGGGTCACGGACTTGCCCCGTCGTCAGCTCTAGAAAGTGTATATTTTACTAAATATCATGCCTAGTTTATAGTGTATTACTATTACTATAGGTTTATACCTAAGGCTTATGTATAGCTTAGGTATACTCGAAACACTGTTAGGACTGTTAAATTAAAAACAATTAAATCTAAGAACTTATTAGGCGTTAAGTGTATCCTACCCCCCCCCCATCCAACGAAGGGAAACGACATTCACTCGACTTACTTAAATTGTCATTTTTGATTAGACCCAAAATTGTGTGTGTTACCTTTAATTTTTTTGTTGTTGATTTAGTTTTCTAAAAAAATACAGTATTTTTTGGTGTTTTGTGAGTGTTTATGTGCGTTTAAAGTCAGTTTTGGTTATAGTTTGGCGTTTTATTAAAAATAGTGATAGCATGCAAAATTGACAATCATCAATTGACCTAGTGTTACCGCAGATTTAAGTTTCTGTGTAATACTGTAACTGCAGCTAAATGGTTTTTTTTATTATTTTTTACAATACAAAATCGTTAAGCTTCGTTAGAACACAACGTTAGAGATATTTTAAACAGTCCAAACTGTCAAAACAAATCGGTGTTTTTTTTTTCCAATCGAGACATTGTTCTTTACTTCAACATAACAATGTAATACAATTAATATCGAGAGCTCGTCGATTTTTTTTTTTTTTTTAAATACCTCCTTCCCACTCGTATTATCGACGTTGCATTCGTTTCCTGAAACCGTGACCAGGATTGAATAACTCTCGACCGTGTGTTGTTTGCTTGTAAAAAAAAACATAATATTAATATACAATATTGTGTTATTTATATACGGCCATGGAACTACCGTCTTGTGTAATGTCTTTTTAAACTGCGTATTAGGGTACTATACTGTCGCAACGCCCTATCCATGTGTTTTCTTCGTTCAAGTCTGCGGCATCCCCGTAGACCGTAGTAAACATGTTGTTTATCGTGTGCACAATAATAATATTGTAAACACGAGAGTTGTGGTGCTGCAACCAAGAGATATATATATATATATATTAGGACGTATCTCACACATAAAAACATCTTATTGCCAGTTACCAACTGTTGGAAAACAAACAACGCCTCGTTTTTCGCTTTTAACTTGCAATAAATAAAAACAATTTGAAGGTAAAATTTCGCCGTTGCAATCAACGCGCTTGTCCAACGCGAGCAAACCAATCATTTATTATTATACATACAAGCGGAGATTTATTTAAAAAAATATATTATAATATTATACTCTCTGTCAGTGTGTGTGTGTGTGTGTGTACGTACTCGACGAGTGCATCGCGGCGTTGCACCTTATTGTTATTGTAACGTTGTTTTTTCTTTTCTTTTTTTTATTATCCATTATTATTATTATTATTATTATTAAATTAGCTACTATACGGCGCATAGTCCACAGCAGAGGTCGAACGTACATAATAATAATATACCGTTGGGCAGACGGTGACACCAGACGATGACGTCACCCGGCTAGTCCGAACGGATGACGTCATCCCACATACCGGTATCGTTAGGTATAGTAAGTACATTGTCCCGTGGATTTACAGTCTATATATATATATATATATATATATATATATATATATATACACTATAGCTGCTGCAGTAGGTGCCACTCTTTCTAAATAGAAGAGAGAGGGGTGGGGGGAAATTATAAATTATGATTTTACATTTTTCGATGTAGACGTGCGTTATCATCATCACCGCCTTGTACGCTGCACAATACCTGTTGGAATAATGAGTAGTTAAAAAAAAAAACAAAGTCTGTTACCGTGATAACGTAAATAAAAAACACCATCCTGCGCAATGTGTAATTACCCGTCGGATTCTCTTTATTGAGCTGTTCGAAATAATGTGTTTTTTTAAAAAAATAATCCGCCAGCGTGTTGTGTGCTATGGACTTT